GTGACTTTGTGCGAATGGCTACAAACAAGAATGACATGATTCTAGGAAACTTCGGAAGTGTGAAACTGACAAAATGATTCTGTGGTGCGTCACATATAACGTTTGCACTGTAGGTGTTTGAACGCTGTGGACAGGATGCTTTGTTTCCTGCTACATGTGCACGTAATATAAATGTGTCTTTTACAAAAAAACAACAACAATCATAATCTCAAACATTCAAAACATTTTCTCTGACCTCTCCAACACTAAGGAACATGTCTATAGTGACTCAACCTTTAACTGTTACATTTTACAACTACAGTGACACTCAGTAGGGCTGTACCTCCACCAAGGCCCAACCGCACCCTTAACTTATATCAAGCTGCTTCAAATTCCACACCCTCATAGTTTTCACTTCCCTAAATGTGCCTGTTTTTTAATCAAGATCCATGAATTATTCCATGAGTAACTGGTGAAAATTTTAATGAAAGTCATAAAAAAAAGATAATAATGCAACATAATTTGATGATCCATTTTTCGAGATAATCGGTCCGGGAGTTTTTTTTGCGTATTGCTGAAAAACAGACAGGGGTGAAAACATAACCTCCTTGGTAGATGGAGTAACTGTTGGTACATCTTAATAATTTTCAGGCAGCGCTTCCTCCTATGAACTGTCTGTTTGGTTCTGAGTCATCCTGAGTTTCTTTACTACTCTACACATGTAATATAGAGTTATGAACCCTTTATACATTGTAATGAATTTACTGAGATTTCCACAATAATTAGCTGGCAGCAACTGCCAAGTAAATGACTGTAAAAAAATAAACAGTCAGGTTTCCTGATAACTGCGGCAGTAGTAATAAATCAACTGTAAAATGCAATTGTGATGTAATTTCATGCTATTGAAATTATAATTAGGTGTATTGAAAATGTAAAACAAAACAATTAACATATAGCTCTAAATTACATTAGACTGGTAAATTACTGCAGGAAGCCCAATCCTTCAGTTCTTTATTAATAGGTTTTGCACAGTAACAAGCACAGTGTCTTATGATCAGTGTGCTCAGGGATTGTACATACACTGTACCATGGTAACAGATATTGCAGTGCTTTTCCATACAGTAGAATCATCCACTCTGAGCTGCTAGCATCACCATCTGGTTTTCCACATTTAATCAACAGTTTTCCAACCGTTGTTTTCCTTACACGACATGCCCGACACGCTCTGGTTCATACAAACTGCAGTGAGGGAGCTCTGGGCTGTTCGTGTGATGGCTCGCTGCTCTTCTATCTCACCAAAAACTCTTCAGCTACATTTAAAACTGATCTGCTCATCAAAAGGCACGACAATGTCCACATGTCGCTGCATAGACTAGTCACTAACAACACTACAGGAGAACGTGGGTGTGTGTTGTTTCATAACAGACTTGGTTCGATCCTTTCATGATTTAATCTTTAATCCTACAGCACATGTGCAGAGGTGCAAACTTGATGCAGTTTTAATCTCATAGATTACAACTCCACATAGTTTAGGTCTTACAGTGAATTGTACAACCCTCACTGCTCCAAGTAGACTAGACCACATGCACCTTATATACAGTGGCGGATCTAGAAATTTGGGGGCCCAATGCGAATGTAGGCATGGGGCCCTCGGCATCTGTTTTTCAATCCTTATTTATCGAAGAAAGTCCTACTTGTAACTTTTTCCCAACCCAATAAAACATATTAACATTTCACCAAATGCACTCACAGTACAATCTTAGTTTCATAAACAATATGATCTCTGTACAATAAGAATGTGCCTCATTGTAATATTACCTCAGGTGACTGCCATTATCATATGACTGACCTCGACAGTTGGAAACTTAGTGTTTCTAGTTGCCCTAAAAATGACCTAAAAATGACTCCCATAAGCCTTTGCTGGTTGTGTCATGTGCCAGAAGCAAACCAACAAAGTGCTCATGAATGGAGGCACCTTTTGAGGTCTCACAATTCACAGCTGCTCATTGTGACTGAGGTCTGGAGTGCAGTCCATTATTACTGCATAATATGTGGCTTTCTTTACCCTCTCTACAATTGCATCAATTATACACTTTGCCACAAGGGAAATAAGTTAATTTTGAATACGCTTGCTTTAATACGTGTCACTGAGCTCTTTTTGCCTCAGTTGCTCTCACATGACAGAGTCAAACTGAGCCATCGATTCTACTTGTCCAAAGAAATGTCCAAACTCAAACAATCTCTCTGAGTGTCCATGAAATACAAGATTACGTTCTGCCAGATGGTTCACTATGGCAGGTAATCTTCTCAAAAATCTCCTTCCAGCAGTTTACTTCAATAGCAGTTAGATCTTGGTTCAACTGATCTATAGCTGTGCTTGTTTGAAGTTTCTGTAGTAAAGTGCGCCAGGTAGCCATGTTAGTAATGTGTTCAGCAGACCTCTCGTGCTGCTTCAAGTGGGCTGCAAGATTTTTCCACGTATTGAACCCATCCCCTATCAGCTCAGAGTGTTTTTTCTCTGTCTCGAACAGGACATTACACAGTCCTTTTAATCACTGCACACAAGCCAGGACCTGGTTACCTTTTTCCATTGCTCATTTGCATGCAATAATTGCTGCTTGTAACTCTGCGCCCCTCTTGATTTTTAGGGAGAATTCTGTCCTTCCCCTGAACTGGTCCTCTCTGCACTATTGAGCGGCGCTCTTTGGGCCAGAGTGCTGGGTCATCATCTTCAAGTGAACCTCCTATAACATATTGGTTAGTAGGGGAACTGCTACTCACTAGCTGTTGATCGCGATGTCCATCATTTTGTTGATCTGTTTAAGCAGAGCTTGAGCAACTAGCAGCATGTAGCACCTCCTCTTCTCTATTATTGCTAGCACAGTCCGCCTCTGCATATATATAACTCTCAATATATATATATATTTCTACCTGTACAATTTCAATATCATATATGTGCAATACTGTTTTATAGTTCTTTATGTTTATATTGCATTTTTACTTACGTATTACCTCGAGTTGTGTAGTTCACTATTCCCCTTTTGCTGCTGTAACACTGTCAATTTCCCCATCGTTGGACGAGTAAAGGATCGTCTTGTCGTGTCTCATCTTGTCTCGTTTTGTGTCATGCCATGCCATGTCTCTTTTCATTGTATCACATAAATTGCACATAACTGTATTGTGCTGTCATCTTGATGTATTGTATCTTGTTCTTATTTAAAGGTCAATTGTGTATGATTCTTTACCCTAGAATGAACTTTATATTTACATTGAGGGGGTCCTCTCCACAGAGGCCGCCATGTTTTTTTACAGTAACCCAGACTGGACAAACTAAACACCTTTTGACTTTTTGTGACAACTGAAGCTACCACAGGTTCTCTTTCATGTTTGGAAGTCGAGGGTGAGCTGAGGGGTATTCAGCTGCGACATGCAACTTCACCACTAGAAGTCACTAAATTCTACACACTGAACCTTTAAAGTGCACCAGTTATATCAATAATTCTCTCAGTGAGGGGCCCCTCAACAGACTTTCTGCTGCTGCTCTGAAGGATGTGAAAATATCCTTTTCAGAGTCATTTCTCAGTTTTACATGGTCAGGTCCCTGACTGTGGTTGTCAGTAAATGTGAGACTGAGTTTTCATATTGTGAAACATAATTGAAAGTATTTAAAGGAATTGATTCCAAAAGTGAGATCACATTTCAAAGTTCCTGTGAAATGAGAGCTTCACAAACGGTAACTAATATTATTAGTCAACAGGACATGTGACAAGCAAACATCTTGCAGTTTATTTCACCTGTATTTTACCATCCTTATTTCTAATGCTCAATTCTGTTCAGTGGATAATTTTTTAGCTCCGCCGCACAAGGAGGTTATGTTTTCATCCCAGTCTGTTTGTTACTTAGTTTATATTTGTAAGCAAGATGACACAAAATGATTTCCATGAAATGTGTTGAAAGGATGCAGCATTGGTCATGGATAAACCCAATTCTTGTGGATACAGGAATTTTTGTCACCATACATGTATAATATGCAGTGATATCTGGACACAAGTTCACTGGCAAAAAAATTAAAAACAATGTTCAAGAGTTTTCTGTTTCGAGATAACATGTTTGTTACTTTTATAGATGCTGTATGGTTTAGTGCAGAGACCTGAACCCACATCAAGATACTTTATGTTTCTTATGCTTTGATTGGCCATAAACTAGACATGAGCTCAATCTCTGCATGGACGTATCGTCTCTACCACCTGAATAGCCAACATTCAAGCTCAGGAATCAATTCACCAGCCAGACCTTTGCAGGTCAGTGTTGCTAGAATAACACACAGGGTGGAACACTGACAACAAGCTGTTTGTAGTTTTGGAAACATTTATGAAAATCCTTGAATGTAAAATATTACCTCAAATATTCTGCCGAGTCCGGTGTAAAAGTCCGAAAGAAGTTGAGTCTGCAGCACTCAAGGGTTTAAAAGGTGAAACATAACTGTCCCAGGTCTGAATAAGGGGAGGTA